TTGTGGGGACCCTCCCTTCCCGGGGCTGCCTGGCTGGAGGAAGGCCTGACTGGATAATCCTTTGGGCCAGACTCCAAGATTTAACCGTGAAAATGCCAATATTAACGTTTCTATAAATCTCACAGGCTATGTAGGCAATGGAACATTGTTGCCTGGGGATGTTGTGGATGTCCCAACCCTGGAAGTGCTCCAGGCCAGGCTGGATAAGGTCTGGTGGGAGGTGTCCCTGCCCTTGGCAGGGCTGCCTGCGACTGTATCTTTAACCCCTTAACATCATGATTCCATGTCGTGAAAATAAAGGGTTTATTATGGTTTTGGGTGGCAATTCTATTATGAACATGAACATAGTACTAGAGATGCAGTACTTGATTGTTGAATTTTGCTGTATCTTGGTCATGCAGCTGTACTGGTGGGAGGTGATAACATCTATTTTGGCCTAGCTTAGGCTGAATTGATAATCAGGATAAGAATTATGAAATTGATAAGATAGAAGTTCTTAAAATACCCCCCAAAAAATTGAGTCTTAGCACAACCTCTTTTATTAATTCTTGTATACATTTTCTAGCTACTTTTTGTACACAACTGGCATTTGTTCTCTTTATGCAGCCCTAGCGGAGTAAGTTTTACCAGCTTGGTAAAACTGGTGTTTGTGCTTTGGGCTTCTGAATAGTGCTAAAGTCTGCAATTCCCAAGGCTTTTCAAGTTTAGGGTTGCTTAAGTACTTTTTAGAGAATGTGAATGATTTCCAGCAGCTTGCAGTATTTAATCCACACACCTCTTCCAATAAAGGACTTTTGAGTTTTTGATGAATCTGTTCATTCAATTAATGAGATAATCTTGAACTTTTTTGTGTTGTAAGAGCAGCATGACCAAAGTGCTCTTAATTTGGTGGCTGACAGCAGCATGAGAATTAATAATGCACAAAATGCACTCTGTTTTTCTTCAAACCCTAAGGTAATACTCCTATTCTGGAGGTAACCTGAAATCCATATGCCAAGGATGTAGAAGGGCAACCACCCTTAGTATATTTGCAGTTTTACTGCAGATTTCATGTTTATCCAGTCTTGGGCTGACTTTGGATCCACAAATGCTGATGCTGCAGATAACTTGGTACCAGTAATGTCTCAGTCATGTGCTCTGCTGTCAGGCCCTTTCTGGGTTTGCCTGGTGTTGGTAAATACCTGGAGGGCTGTTCAGTAACTGTGGGTGAGGGTCACAGTACTCTGTTACAATAAGGCAATTTTATCTGGAGAAACTTGGATGTCAGTCAAGAGAGCAGTGCAGCAAAGGACTGTGTCACAGAGCTTGTTCCTGGCTGTGTCTGTGGGTGCTGCTCTCCTGGGACAGTCTCAGATGTTTCCAACTGTTCTTCGAGATCCACGTGAATTTACTTGGCAAGTAAATGATGGCAGCAAGAAAACATTAACTTTGCATGCTTATTTAGGTTGATTTTGCAATGTGCCTTTGGTGCAAGGTGCTGTCAAGCCAAAGACTTTCAGCTCAGGACTCTGGGAGGGTGCTCCCAGCTCACATATGAGTATTGACTTGTGATTTAGCTCTGCTGCAAAGGACAAATTTTCTCTTGACTCTGAATTCTAAAAGCATTTTTAGCCACTGAGTGCTGTACCTGGTTCTTGCTACCATCAGTAGAGTACACTTGTAAGTAAATACGAGTTTTGTTCAACTCCTTGCAGAAATGGCTCAAGAGGAGATGGAAGTGGATCTCCACCCAGTGGCCGGTTACTCGGTGGGGACCCTGCCGGCGCTTGCCCCGGAGCCCCCTGGTCACGCAGTGCTCTCGTCCCACACCGCTGTGCTCGGGGAGGGAGGAGGGAGCCCCGCAGCCCTCCCTGCCCACGGTGCTGTTGTCTCAGCTGGTTCTACTGCGGGGGAAGCAGCTGCAGAGCCGGAGCTGCAGGCGGGCCCTGCCCTGGCCCTCGGTGGGCAGCAGAGGCTGCAGGGGCCCTTGGAGCAGCCCCAGCCCCCGCCTGTGCCGCAGCTCACACAGCGCCCCCCGGCCAGGAGAGCTCGCCGGCAGCCGAGACTCGGCGG